CAAAAATATTTTTATTCAAAGACGTATTTTTACTATTTTTTTATCACAGATTTATGATTTTCACAGAATTTTCCTTTTAGAGGAATGGTTCAACATCGCTCTATTTTCTGGAACCATTGGATGTACAAAATTGGAAAATAATGGAAGATACATATACTTGAAAAATTGTGGACGAACGTTTTGCATTGTTTATATAAACTTCGATATAGTAAATTTAATTTATATATTTATCTATACCTATATTATTTTGAAAAGAAATGGAAGCTATTCCACGGATTTGAATGTTTACGAGATTTTAGAATTAATAATTTTCTATGAAATTATAAATTTTAACTCTTTAGTGATGAAAAGACTAAAGTATAATCTATAATATTTCCAGAGTAAAACCTTAACTGTCCAGAATTTATGCATAGTTCTGCTAACTTTTACTCCAGAAATAGAAAGATATATTATTTTCGGAGTAAACAATTCTAGAAATGTGCAAAAATTCTTGACAGTTTTATAAATTTAGTAAAAGTCACTTTATATTTTTTTCTGTGGTCGAAAATCTGTAATTCCCCTTCTTTCTCATATTTAGCGATTGTAAAAAATTATTTTATACAATATACACTACCGTCCGAAATTGTGCGAACTCTGCTTTTTCAACAACTATAAAACTGTTCAAATCTTCAAAAATATTAAAACTAAAATTTTTTCCTCTTTATTTGATTAAAGTTAATAAAATTCTGAAAGAAATGACACCTTGACAAAGAGAATATGTTAATTTTTCAATTAGATATCTAAGAAAAACCCAATTCTCAATGTTTTTACTATTTTTTTTATTTCTCTGGCAAAAATTAATATTTTTAAACGTTCTTAGGCTCATTGAAATCGTATTTTGTTATGCAATTCAAATTATATAAAACAATTCATGTACACATTCCTCCCTAGCGTATGCAAACCGTGAAAGTTGGCTCATAAAATGTCAAAAAATTGTGATTAATATTTATATGACAAAAAATGATCAGTAAAATGTATAAATCTTAAATTTACTTACATAAATCAGAGAAGTTTAGAATGATATATTTACTTGATTTTTAAACATTATATTTTATTGTAGAATTAAATTTAAATTTTTTGACATTTTATGAGCCAACTTTCACAGTTTGCATACGCTAGGGATGAATGTGTACATGAATTGTTTTATATAATTTGAATTGCATAACAAAATACGATTTCAATGAGCCTAAGAACGTTTAAAAATATTAATTTCTGCCAGAGAAATAAAAAAAATAGTAAAAACATTGAAAATTGGGTTTTTCTTAGATATCTAATTGAAAAATTAACATATTCTCTTTGTCAAGGTGTCATTTCTTTCAGAATTTTATTAGCTTTAATAAAATAAAGAGGAAAAAATTTTAGTTTTAATATTTTTGAAGATTTGAACAGTTTTATAGTTGTTGAAAAAGAAGAGTTCGCACAATTTCGGACGGTACTGTATATAATATGCTATATATATATATATATAATATACTAACTAATACTACATAATATACTAACTATATATAATATATATAATAAATATAAAAAATCTCTATTTTTTCTAAATTCACTATTTTTGTGAGTGTTATAATTTATATGCCTTTAAAAGTATACTGCTTATTGCACTATACTGGAGTAAAAAATTAAAATTTGCGTTTTTGCAGTGGACCGACAGTAACATTCATTTTAGTTTTTTTAATAAATAAATCAATGAAAATAAACAATTATAGTATCATCAAAACTTACAGTATATGCTTTATCAATAAAAAATTGTAGAATATTCTTCGTAATTAGAAGAATGTAATTTTATCGTAAATTGATTTTATTTAGAATGATTTATGTATGTGTAGAATAATTTGTTATTGTACACAAATGCCATAAATTATTAGCGAAAAGGTTTGTGAAGGTCTTTGTTACGAATAATCTGAAGATTTTAATTAAAAAAAATATTTTATGATTAAAGTGTCTAATATGTTTTGTTTTTTGAATTCCTTGTTATTTCCCGGTTTAGCGTTTTTAAGTTTTTTTTAATTTTAAGAATGTTATAAAGCATTATCTTAAACTTTATTGTATAATTAAACTAATAAATTGTAATTTAATTTGAGAGTTACACTTTAGAAATGCACAGAATTTATTTGATATCAATATTTAATGAAAAATACATATATATTTATTTTTATATTTCAAAAAAATTATTAATTCAGGGAATTCTTTTTTATACCAATTTCTGTGTTGTTTTTAAAATATTTTTTTTGTTTTCTACAATATTTGTTTTCTTTAGATTTTGTTTAATAAAATAGCAATTTTATTTGAATAAATTAACTGATGTATATTTTAACTAAATATTTTTCCAATTTTGGGGAATCGTGATACACATTATATGTAGCTCTTGTTTGGCATTACATATAAATGCAGGTAAGTATAATTAAAATTATTAATGGTTTTGTCAATTTTACAGTATTTTTTAACTTCATTATCAAAATATATAATCTGCTCCAATAATAAAGATTTAATGTTGAAAACTAGTTTTGGAAAAAATGTGTCCTATAGGACATTGACATTAACTGTTAATAAGATAAATTTCAATCTTTCATTTTTATCTTATTGTGATATAATATTTAAATTAACTCCAAATACTGGCGTCAATATGCTACTAATAGATATGGACCGAGACCTGAAATATTAATATCAAACAAAACCAAAACTTATATATGTTGACCTCATTTTCCTTTGCAGAGAAAGAAAAATTATGACCGAAAATATTTATTCAATGATTATAAAGTATATAAATAATTTTTTTTTAAATTAATTATACAAATTAATAAATTGAGTTGAAAAGTAATGAACAGTCTTGTAATAATAATTTTTTTATCTGTTTTTTAGTTGTTTAAGTTTTGTCAAGAGTTTCGGCGTCAATCTTATTAAAAATATCGTCTTGAGATTATGCAAGATGAGTTTTAATACCAATAAAATCTATACCAAAAGAAGCGTTTAAAATCCTATTAAAAAATGTTTAACTTATCAACCCTCCTATGGTTCGACAAAAGTTTAGTCAGAATGATGTTTATTCTGTTATTTTTTTAAGAAACGTTTTGGATTATTATTTAATAAATTTATTCAGTGAATACTACAATTAATATAGCTCTACTTTTATAACAAAATAAATATTAAATGGTTGAAATATATTTTTACAACTTTACGCATTAAATGCTATTTAGAATTCAAAAGTTTCAAAACCGTATGAGGGTTAATTCCATTTAAATAAAATAATTCCTTATTAAATTAAGTGGGTGTATAAAGTACATTTTAAATAATAATATTATAAATATTATTATGCAATAAACTATTGTACATACACTGTATAAAAATATTTACTGACATAAATAAATTTTCAAAAACATTTTGATCTTATTTTAAATGAAGAATTTCTGCTTTCATTAATTTTTCTCCATTTTGTAAGTAAATCCACTTATTGTATTGGTCGGTAGGCGTGGTACATTTTGTGGCCTATGCTCTCTTAATTTGAATCAGTAAAATATCCAGAAGTCGGTTACTGAATTATTTAGTGAAATTTCCACTGGAAATCAGTGATATATGACTGAATTTCAGTGAAAAATTTTCTAAATGATATAGTAACCGACTTCTGGCTATTTCACCTGTGAAATTTTACTGTTTTTAAATTAAGAGAGACACTTTTAACATACCATGTTTAAATACAAGTCTTAAATCGACATCCAAGTTTTAATAAATTTGTTTCAGTCCTTTAAAGTCTACAACAAAATGAGCGGGATATACAAATCATTCATCATAAATAAACCTTACACTTGAAAATTGTGCACCATTAATTCTACAATAAAATCCTACTCCAGCATATATAATAAAATTAAATTGATATGTAATTTTTTACTCAACACAATTAAATACTAGATAATAAAATCTTACACGTTAAAATTTAACCATAGAAAATATTACACATTTAATCTGCACGAAAAAATTGTACACAATGAGTAATTAGCCGTGTAGAATTTGTTTCGCACAATTTATTGTATAGAATTAAATTAATCGTTAAACATAATTTTTTAATTAAAAATTTTATTCCACTTTTTACTGAATTGTAGAATTTTTCTTGAGTAAGTTTTATGTATAAGGTTTTCCAGCGTGCAATTTAACGTATAGGATATTTTAAATAATATTTATTTATTTACTTGAAATTTTTTTTTCAAATCTCATTGTTTAGAATTTTTTGTGCAGATTTAATGTATAGAATTTTCTAGCATAGAATTTAACGCATATGGTTTTGTTATAGTATTTAATTGTGTTGAATACAATTTTCAAGTGAAGTGTTTATTTGTCAATTATAAGCTTCAAAACTGTTAAACATATTTTTTTGAAATATGAAGAATAACCATTTAAATTTTAATTTAATGTTTATTACATATCAACATCTCTTATTAATAAGGTTTAAAAGAAGAAATAACTTCCACGCAGATTCTCGTCCAGATTTTTCGAAAAATCTATACTTTATGAATTTTCGTCTAAAAATGCGTGTTGAATTTTTCATTAAAAACGTCGCACTTTTCGTTAAAAAAAGTTGTCAACAGATGAGAAATTTATACTAACCGAGGTTTGTCTATATAAGTAAACATATTACTAAAATACTTGTCTGTGGAGAGATAAATTAAATATTTTAATATATTCACTTAATGAAAATAAATTGAAATTATGTTAGGCATTCTTACAAGGAATATTTTTGAATCAAAGAATACAATTTTAATTTCTTAGAGACAAAAAATTAACCTCTTAGCTTCAAAGAAGGGAAAAAAATTAGACAGAAATTGTAATTTTTACTGTCAGTCAATATTTCTTGTGACAAGAAAGAAGGAAACTTAAGTGCAATTTCTATTGCAAAGAAAGGAATTTTAATGGCCAATCAGCGAAAAGCATGTTATTTCTTAGAATCGGAAAACAGAGGTCTCCACAAAAAAGATAAAAAAGTGTCTGATGAAAGAAGGGGTGGAGGAGTCAATTTGATAAAATTGGTGTTAATTTAACGTTCAGTAGACAAATTTTCTACGCTTTTTTTGGACCAATAAATCAGGTAAAATATTTTAATAAATAAATGTACACGTAAAAATAAAAAATAAAAATTAATTACTTTTTAATAATTAAAAGCATTTGATATTTACAAAACATGCCCACCACGTGTTTAGTTATAAAATCTTTTACTCTTATCTAATTTTTCTTTTTGAATTTTACTGTAACTTTTAATTAATAAATGATTTAAACAAAAGTATATATAAAATACATAATTCTTATTATGAAGACGGAAGAAATTAATTCGTTTTTAATAATAATTATAAGCAGTTGATATTTACAACGCATGCGCACAACAGGTGCTCGAAGAATTGTTATTTTTAATTAAATATATTTAAGTTTCATATCAATTTTGCATTCATAAATGTATTATTAATTAACAGTGTGTCTAACAATCAGGAAAATACGGAAATTTAAATGGTCGGGAAAAAATAAAGCAAAAATAGATAATTTGATTAAGTTTCTGGACTTTCTGGTTAATTCATTAAATTTTTTTTAAATTTCTTTAAATTAATTTTTTTACAAACGAAACAATGTTCTTAATTTTGTACCATGAATTCTAATTTTCTTGCATTTCTTTATTTTATTTCAATTTTTTGTTTCTAAAAATTGTCATCACCTAATATTTTTTTTTATTTATAAAAAATTTCGTTTTTTCTCAATTTTGTTTCTTAAATTTTGAATTTTTGTGTGAGTTCATACAATTTTTATATTTATTTACTTTTATAAACTAACGCTCAATGATTTTCAATTGTCCTACAACTTATAATTTTACTCTGAAAACGTATTAAATTTTCAATGACAATTTTTTCCACATTTTTTTCTTCAACTTCATTAGCCTTTCCCTGTTTTTAAATTCTGTTAACTAGAATTCTTAAAATTATTTATGTTTCTGTATAATTTCTATCATCTTTTTATTAATGCATAAATATATAAAATATATATAATTTGTTTTGACAAATTTCATTTTACAAGTTATGATAGCTTTTTTGAACCCCTTTCGATTGGTATAATATATTTTGAAAATAATTATAAATTTTACTTTTTTGGACGAAAGGCAAGATTTTTTTTTATCTTTTCAGATGAGAAGTGGCGTTTTATCTTACGTACTTTTTATTCGAAAATTAATATTTATTCCCCAACAGCTACGGACATTTCAGAATATCCTATGGACATCCTATCCGTATCCGGGAATTTGGATATCTCTAGAATGTTCTCAGGATATCTATGGATATCCCTGAGACATTCTATGGATATCCTACATTCCGGTTATCCCTAAAACATCTATAAGATATCCTGAATATCCAAATGCTGTTAGGGTTAATATTTTTATTTAATAATTAGTATTATAAATAATTAATTTCTTTCCTATATGTTAATTTATCTTAAAAAATTTATTAAGAACAATTATACTGTTATGCTGCATATTAATTATCAGTTACTACTCAAATAATATTTTTTACATTTGCCTACGAATTTATAGAAAATATTTTCATATATGACCTCTGGAACCTTTAACTTTTATGTCCTTCTGATCTTTTAGGTTGCTTTGTCTATAAAATTGACAATTATGGACCCAAATTTATTACCAATACCAGGTAAACGAAAATTTATTTTTTCATAATTCTGAACTATGTACTTATTATAGGATGATTTTAAAAAAGTTTATTTCGAAAAAATGTTTACGTCATATTTCACTGGTAAAACTTAATGTTTGTCAGGAACATCAAGAGAATGTGTAAATGAAATATTTCAAGAGGAGATTTTTTATCAAGAAGAAGTCGCCTTCGTTGATGAGGAAAATGATTCCCTGCTTCAAGAAGAAGCTGTTATCGACAATGCGCAAACTGACGACCACACCTATGCATTAGAGAGTATGTTTAAAAATATTTAATAAAATTGGAGAAAATTTAAAAGTAAATTTTAATTTTTACGATTATACTTTCAACAATTATTACAATATAATGTACAAATACATCATTTTTTTCAAACATTCTTTAGAATAATATTATGTATTTGAGTTAAATTGTTACACTAATTCTTAAAATATGTTTTAAAGATTACAAAAGAATTTTATTCACTTAACAAAGAACATACGACTTTTCTAATTAGATAAAATTGTTAATTAATTTTACTTTCACAATCCTTTAGCTGAAAAAACTTATTCAAGTCGAATAACACAACCAGTCACAATGAGAACATATAAGACATATGAACGGCATTTTGGAACAACATATCGTTGGCACAAATCAGGGCGGCCAAAGAAAATCCCAAAGGACGGACGAACTTTCACGTACATATATTCTTACAAACTTCATTAAAATTACCCAACTGTTAAATAAGTAAAACAAAATGCAAATTTTTTTGATATAATATTTATACCACCCACACAGCCTGAACTTGCAGCAATATTCGCAACATTGCCTCAATATTGCTGAAATTTTCAAATGTTTAAAATAATTTGAATTTTCGATTAAAAATACTTTTTTTTATTATTAATTTTTAGCAATTTATTGTTGATTTTACAATTTTTGGTTAGAAACCTTTAATATTGTACTTAATTTAAAAACATCAATCAAATCAATTATTATTTACTCAATAATTAATTGAGCCGCTGGATTCTAGAAGGACACGTACATTTTTCCGGCCGGAAAACGAAGTCCTCTGGTCACTCAAAATTCATTTTTCGAATTTTAGTATTTTTCGAGCATATTCTTATACAGAATTCGATTTCGCATCTTTCTTAATAAAAAAACTTTTCATCTTTTTCCGGTTTCCAAATATAAGAAAAAAACTAGTTTTTTGGAAACGTAAAATTTAATTCTTTTTTTGACTTCAACTCGCAATAGCTCAGTCAATTTTACGAGTTTTTCACTCAAACCAAAACAAAAATACGTGTTATTATATCCTACCAGTGACTAAAAAAGAAAAAAGTTGTTTTGATTAAAAATAAAAAAGTTATTAATTTTTTATTGAGACATTGCGAAATTCGTGAAGTGCAATTTTCTCAATGCGGGGAATTTCGACAAATTTTTAGCAGCAATAAACTTCCAGTGAGAAAGTTGTCCATTATGGTCCAAAGAAGTTTTCTGGAAAGTTACAATGCAATTGAACAATTAATAACGAAAGCGTGAATGTTTAAACTTTAAAGTTGTGCGAGCGACAGAACGTTTGGCATGTATTTGCATCCATAACATGCTGGATTGTATTATTACGTAGCAAATACATGACAAACGTTCAGTCGCTTGCGCAACTTTAAAGTTTAAACATTCACGCTTTCGTTATTAATTGTTCAATTGCATTGTAACTTTCCAGAAAACTTCTTTGGACCTTAATGGACAACTTTCTCACTGAAAGTTTATTGCTGCTAAAAATTTGTCGAAATTCCCCGCATTGAGAAAATTGCACTTCACGAATTTCGCAATGTCTCAATAAAAAATTAATAACTTTTTTATTTTTAATCAAAACAACTTTTTTCTTTTTTAGTCACTCGTAGGATATAATAACACGTATTTTTGTTTTTGTTTGAGTGAAAAACTCGTAAAATTGACTGAGCTAGTGCGAGTTGAAGTCAAAAAAAACAATTAAATTTTACGTTTCCAAAAAACTAGTTTTTCTCTTATATTTCGAAACCGGAAAAAGATGAAAAGTTTTTTTATTAAGAAAGAAAGATGCGAAATCGAATTCTGTATAAGAATATGCTCGAAAAATATTAAAATTCGAAAAATGAATTTTGAGTGACCAAAGGACTTCGTTTTCCGACCGGAAAAATTTACGTGTCCTTCTAGAATCCAGCGGCTCAATTAATTATTTTTTTACAAATTTTTTATATCGGCACGGACACCAAAAATTGTGTTTATAATTATTGTTAAATAAATCAAATTCCTTTGCGGTATTCATTTTGAAAATCTTACTTATTTTACCGTTTCAACATGTTTTTGTAAAAAAAGTTTCATTTATTTTTATCACATGTTAACATTTCTTATCATTACAGTTACATGAGATGTGCCTTCCAATATAAGTCTACATGCACTGGAAGAGGTATTTCATACGACGATGACAAAGACAACGTCCATGTAACCAAAGAGCATCTTCCAAACTGCTCATTTAATAATGATGCTGCCAAACAGAGGAGTGCTCTTCTGAAAAAAAGCTTCTCCAATCCGGAAAATCCGAATAAAGTTTTCAAAGAAGTCAGAAGAGAGTAAGTGAATACATTTATTATTAACGCATAAAAGTATAATTGTAAATTTATCATTAAATTACCAGATAAAAACAAATGAATATGCTTCAGTGATAAATTTTTAAAGTTGTTCATCACGAATCCAAAGACAATTTTTAAAATCAAAAAATTGTAGATAAAATGTGGCGGACTGTATTAAAAAATTATATAAAAATATTTTTACAAGATTTTTTTTGTTTACAAAAATTAAAACCACTAACTTTTGAAATATATAAGTATTTTCTATGTTTGTCAATATAAATTTTCCATGCATTGTAATTAGCAATCTAAAAAAAACCCTTATGTCTCAAGTTTTAAGCAACATGAATCGCTTTTGGAAAAAATCGCCCATACTGAATTTGTCATTTTTAATTTTTAAAAACGAACATCGGATTTGTAATTAGTAGCCCATAAACTACAAAATTATATGTACATTATTAAAATATTAAAGTAGAATTTTATTATTTTAGAAACACGCAATTAACAAGAACTCTTCCGTATGATTATGTATCGAGGACACTTCGACGGTGGATGAGGAATGGTTCTCCAGCTGTGCCAAGGCACATTGTTGATGTGGAAGAGGTGCTTAACTGCAATGTTTGGAAGCAGAGAATGATGTACGACATAGCAGAAACATCACATCCAGTTTCGGTTGTTGGTGTTACTGACGATGACAACTTTTGTCACATCATTTTCTATGCCCCAGAATTTCTTTCTAAAGTTCTTTCAATTGACGAGCCTTCCGCAGCAGTCGACGGAACTTTCAGAACTGTTCCATGGCTGAAAGGTGCTTCTCAACAACTCATTTTTTCTGTCTTCTCTTATGGAAAGGTAACATTAAAAATATTTCTAATAATTATCCATATGTGTATCTCAACAAAAACATCTTTGATGCAAAAAGTTACGCAAAGTAAAAATTGTCTCCAAACAATTTGTGAAATGAAAGTTAGCCAAGTAAAATATACGACCAACTTAAATCTTAATTAGTTTCTTCAATTACATTTTAACAATATGCGTGTATTTTGGAAAAAAAATTAAATAGAGTTAAATAATTATTTAAATAATTGATTGAAATCGAATTCCTAATTAATAAAAATCTGTATCACCCGCAATATTGAAAAACTTGGCGTGAATAATTTTTTCATATTTTTATATGCTGTAAACAGGTTAAAGGAAAATTGAAGGACTTAAAATATTTAACAATTATTCACGCCAAGTTTTTCAATATTGCGGGTGATACAGATTTTTATTAATTAGGAAATCGATTTCAATCAATTATTTAAATAATTATTTAACTCTATTTAATTATTTTTTTCAAATACACGCATATTGTTAAAATGTAATTGAAGAAACTAATTAAGATTTAAGTTGGTTTACATCATCACAAATTTTGGTCAAAAAAACCAGATATTAAATAAATAAATATTTTGAGAAAATAGATTCGCGGATTTTTTTTTACTTCCCGTCGATTCTCTACCGCGAATCTTGGCCCTTTATTAAAAAATAGACTTAAAGGAAGGTGGCAAAAAATAAATTTAGTGTATTTATCTAGTTTTAGAATTTTCCTAAAGTTTCAAACCTCGCTGCGTTCTAAAAATTATGAAAAAAATTTTTTGATTAAAATTTATGAACAAATATAATAAAAATAAGATGTTTAATTGATAAATGAACTTTTATTTATTTATTTATTCAATACATATCCCCGCAACTTTTATAATATACTTTATATACCGTAAGAATGATTTCATACTGATCATAGGTAAGCGTGAGTGCGAGAGAGATGCAAATGGAACTGCGCATAAGAGTGTCTTCGTCGCACTCGTGAGCTGTTTTATATTCAATCATTCTTACTGTATATTATTTAACATCTTTAGATTCTTGTATCGAATTATATTAATGAATTTATTAATTTGAATCAAATGCAAATTTCTTTTCCATTTTAAAATAAATTGTATGTTTTTTAAATATATATCCTATGTATTGGTAAAGTAACAGTTTTAATCAAAATTATGAAAATAAATTTGGCTATTAATGTAATATATTTTTAGTTTTTAAATTTTTCGAAATTGTTGGGTTAATTATTGTTGGATACATCTTGACATCTTAAAAAATTACTTTTGCAAAATTAAATATTGACTTATAGTGACTAAATTAATTTCAGATCACGCCATTGTTTTATGTAGTGATGAGCTCCAAGTCCTTTAATGCCTATAATTCTGTGGTACAAAAGATACGACAATTAGCTCCGAATTTAAATATCGAAAAGCTCAATTGCGATTTTGAAACAGCTCTAAGAAAAGCGTTTCTACAAAATTTTCCTGAGCTGCTAAAAATCATTGGATGCTACTTTCATTATGGCTACGTAAGTATGTTATGTGTTTTAAATTTTAAATGTAAATTAAATTTTTAAAATTAAAAAAATGCAATTTACATGAAATTTTTTTTAAATGTTGTAAAAGTACAGATATAATTGAGCTGCCGGATCAAAGAAGGGCACATAACTAATGCATTTTAAATGGGTTATGTGCCCTTCTTTGAGCCGGCAACTCAATTGTTATGTCTAAATAAATCTAATACAATTTTCTATGTTTAGAACATCGAAAAGCGGATCAACAAATTGCTACTACGAGCGTACTTAAATAAAAGTGAAACAATCTTAGATTTCACAGAAAAATTAAAATATTTAGCACTGTTACCTGCTGAAGACATAAGCTACATTTTTGATTATCTTGTGGAAACTTTACCAGATGAAAAAATTCAAAAAGAAAATAGCACAGATTTCGTCTCTATTAGGGAAGTGTTAGATCCCTTGATCTCATATTATAAGAGAATTTGGCTGAAGCAAATTACTCCAAATGTATTTTCTGTTTTCAAGGAAGAAAAAAGGACGAACAATGATACGGAAAGAAACAATCGCTCCTGGAACGAGTTTATGGGCTGCCATCCGAACCTTATCACATATATTCGTAAGTATATCATATAAATTTTTAATTTAAGTATGAAATCAAAAATATTAATTTAAACTGGAAATCCTGGTAAACTCATTAATTTTCATATTTGTTATACATTTTTTAGTTACAAACTTAGAAAATCGTGAAATCACAATTATCTACTTATTTCATAACAAAGAAATGATATATTTAAAGTAATTTTTAAAATGTTTTTTTTTGTAAAAGACAAACCATCTATTTTGTTAAAAGTTATTTCTAACATTAGAGTTGCAATATAAATTTTCCAGGTTTATTAAATTTTTCAAATAGTGAAAAGTAAATAATTAATTCTTGAATTGTTATATTATTCTTATTCTTACT